GATCACTCTATCAGTCACTTGCGAACAAGAATAGTTGTTCACAACCTAGATGGACATGAACACCCCATCCGAACGGTTGTAGTGTCAACTGTATAGTTTGTCTTGACTAATTAGTTGCACTAGTACATTTATGTATTGAACAGGATCCCAGAGAGGAGATGTTCATTTTATACTGATCGTCGTAAATGAACTAGGCCTCGGTTAATTACTGCGTTCTCTTAACCCGTAAGATATTAAACAGACAGATATATATAATATATATTACTTTGATTCACATGGGTGAGGTTCAGTTCGCTGGATTAATATTCCTACTGTTTTGGGTAATATTATTATATATAGGTTGTGCTGTTAGGATATTTACGGTCACCATGTGCGTTAGTTTGATGATGTCCCCAGAGTGAGTTCATGAAGGATTGTTATGCTAAACCCTGCAGGTGGATTAAGTTCCGACATAATAAGAATGTGATGGACGAGCGCTAGCTTCGGTGAAATAATAATAAATTAATTAATTTTTGATTGTCAGTAATCGAATTAATTAATAGACATTATATCTTAAACGTGGGTAGGTAAATCGAGTAATTATTATTGGTGTCTCAAATGTAATTTGGGCTAGGAAAAGGGAGTGCAATAATATAATGTTGGTGGCCCATTAATATTATTTAGTTAATTAGAGGAGTGAGCTTGGCCCACAGTTAGTCTAATTAATTAAGGCGCCATTTTCCTAATCTTTTAAGGATCCCTACTGTAGCTCTATATATACATCATTAAGCTAATAAGAAGAGAATTTCAATCTCATTCTAACGAGACACGCCCCACGCCTCTCTCTCTCTCTAGATCTCATTCGAGCTTTATCTTCTTCTTGTTGCTCCACTGGTACAAGTAGAAGAAGGGTGTATTGAGTAATACAGTAGAAGATCTGTAGGTAAACCGAGACGAAATATATTTTGACCTACAGAACTAACTGGAAGTCCGATTGAGACGTACAGCATAGCCAGACGACCGTCTCGACGAGAGCTTTCCATCGCCGCCAAGATCGCAGCTGTCCAACGCCTCACGCGCCCTCACGCACCGCCGGAAGATCCCAGACTGCAAAGTTTTGTTTTGATCTGTTTGCATCCGTTTGATCCGATTTTGATCTGATCTTGTTCGTGCAACCCAAGAAGTGATTTGCGGTCAATCAATTGCGGTCAACCGTTCGTGATCAACCAGATCTACATAAATTTTAAGTTGTAAGTTCTCTACGTCAAACATTTAGATCCGCTGCGCATAGGTTTACGTTTGCTATTGAATTCGTGACTTGTACATAACGAGATCCTCGCAGATCCCAACAAGTTGAGGGACCAATAGAAGGAGATTCAAATTAGGCTAAGAAGCGGCACGCGTGGCTGTAGGTAGGGGTGGTCGCGCTCCGGGATTTAGCCTATACCGATACTTGTCCCATTTTTTTGAACCGGTCCGGGATGAGACACCGTCCCAAACGGATTGGTATCAGTTGGGACAGTGACAATACAGTTCGGGATCGGGACAAGACGGATAAAAATAAATAAATAAAAACGTAGCCGAATACCGATTTGATTTGAGAAATTGGTTGGGAATGAGAATGTGAAATTTTTTGGGAATGAGAATTGTGAAAAGTGAACTTCACATTTCAACTTCAACTCGTCCACAATAATGCCTCATTCTCTTCTCAGTTGACTTATACATTTGGGCCAAATAAATGGTAATGGTAATGGTTTAGTTTTGTTAATTTTTTTTGGCAAGAGGATTTGGCTTTAACAGTTACAAATACAAAACCTGGACTGAAGCAAGAAGTTCAAAAACTATTTTAAATTATTTACTATAATACTAATATAAATATACTAATAATGTATTATATATATATATATATATAATATTTTTGTATGAAAAAAATAAAACGGGACAAACGGAACGGTTCGGTACAAAAATATTCAAAACCGATACTGACATTGTTTCAAACGGTTTGGTACTGGGAACGGTACGAAAATTAAAAAACCCATTTGGAACCCAATTTTTTGGAATGAGACCATTTCGGTCCGGTTCGGTACCGAGATATTCGGTTTTTTTGCCCACCCTTAGATGTAGGCTAAGAGGGATGATGTAAGTGATAAGTATTTAAAAATGAATAAATATTGAATTAAAGTTGATGTGATTATTTAATTATATTAATAATATTGATAATAGTAGAGTTGAGTTAGATTTTAAGTAATGAGTATAAAAAATGATCCAATCAAAACTGATTTTGATCATTTTTAACTCCTTATCAATCACCCCTTATTTTTTTTTCTTTTTTTCTTTTTCCCCTTTTACAACAGGTCTCCAAGGTGAATTTATCACCCCTTATTGCTTACTGATTTTTGATTTCATGATGATCCTTCTTGCTTTGAAAACATCTTGCTTTTGTTTTTCATCCATGGCTGTTAATATATCCTTTTACGGACTAGAAATCGAATCGTGATACGGCAGATCCGAACCGAAATCAGCCCAGACCGATTTTGGCCATCTAATGAATGTCACTAGAGATGTTAAAGGGACTAGCCCTAGTGGTTTCGGGCTAAACGGTTTGGGCCTAAAAAGCCCGGATTTAAACGGGCTTCAATAAAGGGACTTAACTCTAACCCTAGCGGGCATCGGGCTAAACGGGCTATAATAATAATAACTAGTTTTTGTCCCGTGCATTTGCACGGAAAACTATATGATACATGAAAAAATAATAAAAATTATAAACAATAGTAAAAATCATAACAAATTCATTGAAAAAAATTAAGAACAAAAATATAAATATTCTTAAACACTTCTTTATAAAACAACGTTGTGGTTTTTCTATCGTCAAAATCTCCCTCAGCTCAAATCAAAATTTTCAAACCCCACTGACTCGTAACTCTAAAAAGCGCCACGTATAATTGCTCATGACTAAATGCAGAGCTCTTCAGTAGTAAGCCGACGTGCGACAGAGACTGTCTTTGACTCTTATTGATCATGTCATAGCATAGGAAACACTTCTTTATATTGTTTGTCCTTGACTCTTATTGATTGATAGAGATTGTCCTTGCTTCTTAATAAAAAAAATACCATCTAAATATAAATGAGTAACTATAATATTAATTTTTAATATAAAAAAAAAATTTAAAGTAATTGATAATGAGTATAGAATTACCCTTGCGGATTCAAGTTATTTCAACGATGTTCTTTTTATATATCTAAGATTTGATTTTTTTTCTGATTTATATGAATATAAGCACATTTGACTAATTTTTATAAAATTTATTGAAAAAAATTACTATTTTTTTGAAACACTGATAAGATATTAAGATGATACTGTACTTAACATAAATGTGGGATTAATTAAAATAAATCTTTTTAATTTAATCATTAACTAATTAAATTTAACTATAAAAAAACCTTCTTAAATGTGAGATTAATGAGTAATTAATTAAAAAAAATGTAACTCTTTTTGGAGGGAAAGTAAAAATATTTTTATTAAATGTTTTATTAAATGGGATTAGCTAGCAATTATATATATATAGATATTACTAATAATAATAATAATAAATAGTAATAATAATAATAATAATAATTAATGATGATGATGATAATAATAATAATAATAATAATAATAATAATAATAATAATAATAATAATAATAATAATAATAATAATAATAATAATAATAATAATAATAATAATAATAATAATAATAATAATAATAATAATAATAATAATAATAATAATAATAATAATAATAATAATAATAATAATAATAATAATAATAATAATAATAATAATAATAATAATAATAATAATAATAATAATAATAATAATAATAATAATAATAATAATAATAATAATAATAATAATAATAATAATAATAATAATAATAATAATAATAATAATAATAATAATAATAATAATAATAATAATAATAATAATAATAATAATAATAATATCTCAAAAATAAAAAGAATACAAAAATATAAAAAAATAACAACGGCAAGTTAACGATTGTTTTCAACGGCTATTTAGTAATTACTGCTTTATATATACAACTACACATCATTACCGCTTTACAAACTTTTAAATAACATATTTTTTCTCGAAAGAAAAAATAAAATATTCCAACTATTACTTACAATTACCATTTTACTACTTATTTTGTACGCTTTGAAAATTTTCACTATAAATTCTATCGCTATGTTTCATGTGTTTCCTATTAGTCGTTCTGATTTTCTTAAATATTTTGGTGTGAAATACTATAACAATATTGTTAATAATTATCTTTCAAAATCGTAATAATCCATTACAACTCATACTTACATGTGAAGTGTAATAACAAAATTGTAATATATAAGGAATCTAAGAGCATATTACTTACTTGATGCGAATATTTACACCGTTCAACTCTAGTTAAATGAGTCAGCCTTATCGAGTTTCGGGCTAGCCTCTAATGGGCTTCGGACTAAACGGTACGGGATTAAAAAAATCTAATTTAAACGGGTTACTAATAAAGGACTCTAACTCTGTTTTTTTGGGTTAAACGGGCCGGTCCATCAGACCAAGGACTATTTAACATCTCTAAATGTCACGTAAAAATCTAAGGGGGCGATTGGATATTGTTTCAACAGTAAAAAAAAAATCAAAAAACTCAAATTTAACTCAACTTTTACCCAACCCCACTATCTCCAATTTTATCAATATAATTAAATAATACAACCAATAATTCTTACACATCACATCAACTCTAATTCACTATTCATTCACTCACATAATTTTAACTAACTATCACTTCCAATCATTTTTCTCCTACTTTACATCCAATCAACTTCAATTATTTTATTTAATTATTAATTTAATATATCAACTAACAACTAATCATACCACTTTTTTTCAAAATTAACTATAGTTAAAAACAAATCAAATAAAAACTAGTTGAATTTATAAACAATCACACCCTAAATTATCGGAAAAAAATGCTTTAAAATGATCACAAAGCAAGTTTTGCAACTTGGGGACTTCTCTACCGAGGAAGGGAGAAAAAAGGTGATAAAAACTTGCAAACCATAAAAAATACCCTTCCCTCCTGAAACTCCAAAATTACAATCAATTTTGAAATTTGATACCCGAGAAAAAAAGAAGAATCCGAAAAATGGTCGATTTTGCTAGGGTACAGAAAGAGCTGCAAGAGTGCAACCGAGATTTTGAAGTATCGGGGATAAAGGTCATTCCCAAGAGTGAGAGTAATCTTGTCCACTTGCTTGGTACAATTCCTGGTCCCCTTGGTACTCCTTATGAAGGCGGCACCTTCAAGATAGATATCATTTTACCAGGTAATCGCTGCTCGTTCCTCTGTCGTTTTGTAAAAAAATTAATATGTAGATTTTTGTCTTTTCGGTTTTTGGGCAGCAGTAATGTGGAACGAGATTTTTGTTTCTGTTGTTTGTATTCGTTGTGTATGTTTATGACTGAGCTTTTGTTGGGTGTGTTTCTATCCGTCTTTTTGGACTGACCAATTATAGGGGTTTTGTTCTAAGGTCCATTAGTTATACTTATACATGAGGGTTTTTATTCATGCCATGGCTATATGCTTGTAATTTGGCAGGTGAGATGTTCGCGGCATATGTTGATATTTCTTCTGTACAAACTCAACTTGTTTGGTCCAATAATAATTCGGAAAATTTGTTTTTAATTTGAGGGGTGATTGATGTAATTACAATTTGTGGCTATATTATCAGGGTTCTGAGATGATTCTTCTGGTCTTTGTCTGGAGTTATGTTATTAATTTTTTCTTAGGTGAACAAACTATATATCCTCGACTATTTTACGGTGTGCTTTCATGCTGGATCCTATTCCTGTAATTCTTCATCTGATCATGTCCTTTTTTTTTCTTTTTTTTCTTTTTTAAGAAATAGCAATTTTAATGTGTAAGTTCTATATGGTTAAATTTATTTATTATCAGCTTCCAAAAGGAAATGTACTCAAGAAAATACCTTAGATTAGTGCATGAGAAGTGATAATCCGTCTTGCTGTTTTTGGACAGAAAATTCATGTATTTTGCTTGATATCTTAACCACTAATAAAGGAGTTGGTGTCTTCTTGGATTTGTTTTGTTGAGAAGCATTAAGCACAAACTTGATGGAGAAAGCGCAAACTATTCTATGGCAAACTTTGTTTTAAAAGCAGAATACTTCTATAAGATGATGAAATCTTGTCGAAACAGATGGAAAATGTTGGTTTTCTGTTAGAGAGGAGAAAGCTTGCCCAGATTGAGGTTGGCCTTGTTAGGTGCACCTTCCTTTGTAGAGCCCAGAATAGTAATAACTCAATTGTTTTAGGGAAATGAATACAGCCAATGCTGCTAAATCGAAGTATTTTGATTAGCTCCCTTTTAGGACATGTATAGCAAGAAGTCTTAATATTTTTATTGTCCCTATATAGGTTTGCAGCTGATGTTTGTTGATTTTCTAACCATAGATTATAAATAGAGAGAGTGAAGTANAACAGAAAATTGAAAACATGCCGTTATGGTACTCTTTTAGTCCAACATATGGGGAATTCTGTGTGTTTCTATCTCAGGCTGTCAACTGTTTTGTAGAAGCTCATTAGTCCTTCAAATTATTTGCAATCAGATGTTCCTTTTTCTTGCTGCAGATGGTTACCCTTTCGAGCCTCCCAAAATGCAGTTTGCCACTAAAGTCTGGTATGGGAAAAATAAATCATTTTGTACTCATCTTTTTTCCCCCTGCATGGCACATGTTGTAGTCAGTGATATGTTTGATTGCTCTGCGCTTATTCGTGGAACATAAGATCTATATAAAACGTGAAGTGCCATTTGAATTTCCTTAAAAAGTTCGTCAACTGCATCCTGTGTAGTTACCTGCCTACACGTCTGTAGAAAGGAAAATATTATTTGTTGCGTGCAAATTTCTGGGGTCATTATTGGTGTTTTGATGTGTTTGAGTTTTGGAATAAGTCTTACACGAAGACACCACTAGGCGTCAGAATTAGAATTAAAAAAAGAAAACCTACTTTCTTGAAATTATTAATATCTTCATTGGTTGACAACACATGAAGCTTTTGATATTGGCTTTGAAAATCTATTCAACACGTTCACTTGTGACTCTGCACATGCTATTTCCCGTTCGAAAAAGGCATCCCAATATTAGCAGTCAAAGTGGGGCCATATGCCTGGACATCCTGAAAGATCAGTGGAGCCCAGCACTGACTTTGAAAACGGCCCTTCTTTCTATTCAAGCTTTGCTATCTGCTCCCGAACCCGATGACCCCCAGGATGCTGTTGTTGCTCGACAGGTACTGATATTGCATACCTTTTTTGCCCTTTTCCTTGGGAATTTCTGTTATGTTTCCTTTTTGTGCTCGCTTTCCTGTTTGGATCTTAAGATTTGGGGTAATTACAATTACCACTCTTGAGGCTTGTGGCATAGGTAGTTCTATGAATAAAAAGCAAATTACGTATAAACCACTGGGATTGTTGTACGTTGCCTACTAAAATCCTTTTTTCTTTTCATAGTTTGTTATTTGTTTCTTTTTACCGACTGGATCATTGTTTTTTATTCCTTCCTGGACAATCAGAAATCGACACATATCTGCTGTTTGTTTATGGTTTGTGATGCCCATGCATGATTGAACATGACATAGCTAAGGCCGAAAAGTGACGAAAAATGAACAGTTCAGATGGTAACAGTACAAAAAGAAAAGCTTCTTGGGTGGGGAAAGAAAAATCGATCATGGTTAAAAGTTTTGGTGTAATTTGTTTCAAATTCAAAATTCCTTTGATACGTGTTTCTACATGGTGCAGCTGATTCGAAACCTGTAGTTCAATATACGAGTGGCGTTTCTTTATGA